AAAATCCCAAAGAGCCAGCAGCTGGAGTTTGGTCCTGGGGAGAATGCACAACGCCCTGGGGCAGGTGAGAGGGCCCTGGCTTCCCAGGACTCCACACCTCCTGTGTAATTTATCAGGTTTACCTTGTGAAATCGAAATGGCTTCTTGCATCACTGAGGCCAAGGGATTCAAGGGCCAGAGACCCTGCCCCTCTGTCCCTAGGAAAAGGCAAACTTTTTCCTTTTTATACTCCCACTTCTGAAAGTTTTTCATGAAAAAAATTATGGGGCTCAGACTTTTAGATGGGGGGTGGGGCAAGGAGAGGATGGCAATGAGCAAAGAAAGGGGAGGGGGAGGAGAGCTGGGGATGTCTTAGTCCCATTCTTGGAAGACGATTTCATTGGAGTCATGATCTCATTGAGCCATGGTATCTTCCCAGGGACACAGAAAGAGCCCCACCCCTCCTCCTCTTGAATGAATCCCCTCTACGTTCTCTCATAAATCCCTTATAGGAGCCTAGGATCCTACATTTAGAGGCCATTTAGTCTAACCTCATTTTACAGATCAGGGAAACTAAGACTCAGAAAGGTTTAATGACTTATAATCAGACTGAAAGATTTAGAGCTGGAAGGACCCCAACCCCCTCATTTTATAGCTGAAGCCCAGAGAGATTCAATGACTTGGGATCATTGAGTTGGAGTGGAAGGAAGCTTAGACACCATCTGGTCCAGCAACCCCCCCCCTTATTTTATAGATGGAAAAGTTAAGTGACTTGGGGTCACCGATTTAGAGCAAACTGAGGCTCTGCAAGGTGGTCAGACGGTGGTGGGGTGGATTTGCCAGAGGTCAGACGGGTGGTGGGGTGGATTTGAACCACAAAGCTCCTGCTCCAAATCCATTGCTCTTTCCCCAGTACCATGCTTGAATTCCTCCAATGGGGATCAGCGGAGGACTCAGACGGGCCAGATGTTGCGCTTCTTTCTCACTAAACAAATAGCTGGGACCCCTTCCAGTGGTAGAACAACTGGATGGCATCATTTGTACCAGTTCCTCGCCTGCTAGTTGTTGAAGGCTGTACACTTAATGCCCACCATGGGTCTTTCCATTACCCTTTGTGTGACCTCTCATTTTTTGTTCTTTGGGGATTGTGGTGTTTCACAGCCATCTAGTGAAGCTGGATTTGAAGTCAGATAAAAATCAGGTTTGAATTCTGTGTAACCATGGCCATGGCATGTAACTTTTCTAAACATCATGTCTAAAATGGTGGGAATGGTACTTTTGTTACCTACCTCACCAGGTCATTGTGAGCATCAAATGAGGTGTATGAAGGATTTTTCAAGCCTTGGAATACTACATAAACATCAGATAGCTTCTAACATTACCACAAACATGTATTGGTGTTTAAAAAAAATGGGTATTTTGTTCAGAGAGTAGCTTGGGATTATTAAAAGAATCACAAAATTTCCAAATGCCACCTTGCCCACTATTCTTCTTGTTCAGCTCTCGCCCTGCTTATTGTTTTCTAGGAGTGTCTCTTTAAGATATATGTGATGATGGATCCACAGAATGTCATAGATGTTCATCCATCAGTCTAGCAGAGCCTGGGCAAAAGACATGCTTCATCCACTTTGTTTTTCTCGTGTGTATTATCGCCTATACAGGGCAATATCATCCACAAACAGTACTGGAAATCCTCCACAATGGCAGTAAAAACCTTGTGTCAAAAATATCCTCGTATTTAATACCTCAAGTGGTGTTGATAATCAGAAGGCTATTGAGCAGAGTTCGTAGGATCAAGGATTTGCCCTCAGGCTGTCTGGTCCTTCCTCCTCTAAGATAATAATAAAAAAAATGAGGCCCATTAAGGGGAAGTGACCTGATCTCGTCCCATTCATTAAAGAATCATTTCTGGCCTTTCTATATATTTTGGAGATGACTTGTTGGAAGTGAACCAAGAAGGCTGGATTTTTGTCTGAGTAAAGTGGTTTTTTTTAGATTTTGTTTTTAATTATCAATAGATGCATTGGCATTTTTATGTTCTTCAGTACTTTTAATGGAATTGTGCTTCCTTTGCTATAAGCACTTACTCCCTTCGCAGGTATAGATTGCAGCCCTTTCATACGTTCTCATCTTGTGAAATTCTCCTTGAGATCTTTTCATAAATCTAACATAGCAAATCTACCCAGTGCTTTGGAAAACTTTTTTTTTTCTGCTTTCCTTCTACATTATGACATGATGACTTCTCCTCCTTCTTTTCCCACATGTGTCTCTGGTGATGACATTTTAGACTACAATTGGGGCTATTACTTACTTTACTCCCCTGCTTTAAGAGTCATGGTTTCATTGGTTTGAGTATTTCCTCCATGGACACAATAATTCTCTGTAATTTTTGTAGGAGGTCTCTGAAGTCAGTAGTAAGAAAATAAGGAAGACCTGAATTCAAATTTGGCCTCAAACATTTATTAGTTGTATGACCTTGGGCAAGTGACTTAATTAATCTCTCTGTGCCTAAGCTTCCTCATCTATAAAGCAAGTTTAATGATAGCACCTACCTTGCAGAACTGTGAGGGTAAAATGAAATAATGTTTATAAAGTACTTTGCAAGCCTTGAAGCACTACACAAATACTAGCAATTACTGTTATTATTATTATTATGAAGGCTTTTCTGACCAAACACTACATACTCCTAGGGCCAACTTGGAGGTGAAACTCTCTTGAGCTTCCTAAGCTTTTCTTTGGAGAGCAGACATACAAACAGTCCACCATGACACTTGGACTAGAAGTCTTCTCAGCTGTATAGGACCAGCTGGAACTGGGGCTCTGAAGGGAGAGTCACAGATAAACCAGTGCCGCCTTCCTTCCATGATGAGGCATCAGTGTAGGTATGGACTAACTTTTCAAAAAACAAGGAGAACACAAAGGGGAAGTAAATGAAAGAATATTTCCATGCCACCAGACGCAGAGTGAGTGTTCTCAACCAGACTGAAGGGTCAAGTGTTGGGAAATCACACTGTGTGCCCTCTAGTTTTAAGATATTCAAGACTTGGTTATTCAAATGTGTGATTGGGCTCTGCAAAAAAAAATAAAAAAAAAACTCAAAGGCTAAATTCATCTGACAACATACTGTTTGATTTCCCAAGCATAGAGAGTTTAAAGAAATATTTTCTGTTGCCTTTGAATGTGTCTATTCCTTCAAAAAGTAAAAGAAAAAATGTAATCTCTAATTTCAATACATGAAAAATAATCCCCAGCTCACTATGTATAGCTAAGGATTCATGAAACAGTATGGGATATCATTATGGTTCCTGCTAACCTTCTTTATTAAAATAAATCCAAGATTTCTGACCCCTGGGAAAACAGTATTTTATCTTGTTTTTTCCTTTTCTTTCCTTTTTCTTTTTTTTTTTTTGCATTTATTTCCTCTTTACCCTAAAGACAGTTGGCTCTGTTTTCTTTTGTTTCCTTTATCCAATTTTTGTTGGGATCTTTTGTTTCTACATCACTTTCATTTCTGAACGTACCCATGCTCTATATCTTATCTGGCAAACCATCTGTTATCACAAAGAATTAAAAAAAAGAAAGAGATTTAAAAAGACAGATCACTAAAATCAATCAGCATATCAACTGTTTTAGATTCCTAATGAACAGGGACTGCCCTCTACAATAAAGGGAGGGAGTACATGCTCTCACCTTCTCTCTAAGGTCATTATTTTGTTTTAGGACCATAGATTTAAAGGCAAAGGAAACTTCAAGGCCATCTAGGCCAACCTCCCTTGTTTTATAGACCAGTAAATTAAGGCAAAGAGAGATTAAATGATTTAGGGTCTGAGGTGGGATTTGAACCCAAGTCTTCCTGGCTCCAAGCATCGTGTCAGCCACTACCCTTACTGATTTATACCAGGGAAGAAATCTTAAACATTGTCATTAGGCTTCTGACTGAAGAGACCTACTTGTATTTTTAAAACCACAAAGATACTTTTATTAAATAAATGAGTTTTGATGCCAAAATTACTGCAAGAAGAGTGAGAAAGTATACTTTGCCTCCCTTCTTTGCAAAAGTGAGGGACTCCACATGTGAACTATCACATATATCACCAGAGTAAGGTGATGTGTTGGTAGGTTTGTCTGAAGCACTTTTTGATTTTCTTCCTTGTTTTTATTCTATGTTACAAGTGATGGTTCGGGGTCAGGGGGAAGGGACAGGGGGAGAATATATTCAGAAATGAAGGTGAGATAAACCCAAAAGACATCCATTACATGATTAAAATTTAATAAATGAAAATAAAATTAGGGACAACTTGACTAATATTTTCGTAAGAATTTTGCATCATTTCTCATAAGAAAGGTTTTGTTTCTGGCTTAACATGAATCCCTTTTCAAATTTTCTTTTCAAGGTCCATTCATACTGCCTATACGAAAATACCTGGTCTGTCTTCACAAGTCAAAATGATATATGGTTGAAAAATCATTCTCTGTAGGAATAGATATTTGCATCTGCCATGTGCTAGACAGGGTGCCCCATTGTTCCCTAAAATCACAGCTCTAGAACTGGAAGGCCATCCAGGTCGATCCCTTCCTCTTACTGAGGAGGAAACTGAGGCTCAGAGAGGTCAACAACGTCTTCCCCGAGGTCACACATAAGCTGGAAGAGACCTCAGAGGTCATCTTGACCAGCCCCCTTATTTAACAGAGGAAAGAACTGAGAGAATACTTTTGGCAAGGATCCTGAGAAAGCAATCCAGCCCAGAGGATCACAGGAGTAGCGCTTTAGCCTGGAAGGGCCCTTTGGGCCCTCTGTATTACACATAAAAATAGGGCACAGTTCTTTGGCAATATAAAGTTTGCAAAGACCTTCCCGTATAGCTTGTGATCATTGCTCATAGATTTAAAGCTAGAAGGAAGTTCAGAGGTCACCTCATCCAACTTACAGATGGGGAAACTGAGGCCCAGCAAACGTTGTGGTCACTCCCTTGAGGAGCTTACTGTGGACGCTAATCAGAGTGGTTGCTTGTGTTCAACAGGACGGGCTGACCCCCCTGCACTGCGGAGCAAGGAGCGGTCACGAGCAAGTGGTGGAGATGCTCTTGGATCGAGCTGCCCCCATCCTCTCCAAAACCAAGGTAATATCTTTCTGACTCTTCTGAATAACCAGGTCCCAGCGCGGCCTTGTGGAGTCGCTCAAAATATGCCATGATTTTGTAACTGTGCTTGGCAGGAGTGGCCTTCCCTTTACTTCCTGGGGCCCCTCCAATCAGGCAAAGTTGATAATGCGTTGAGGCGAAATGAGTCGTCCCAGGAAATCTTGTTTTTATGGGCACTTAAGGGCCTTTCCATGTATTTTTCACAACTAGAAAAGGTGGGCTATGGAGACAAACAGAAGGCATCGAATCAGCAGATTTGGGAGGGGCTGGGCCTGTTTGTCAAGCACCAACTGACCCGGGTGGTTTTCATCACTGGCTGATGTGCTAGGCGCTTGATTGGTCTAATGGCCCCTGTTCATAGGATCATCGCTCTCTATCTGGGATGGACCTCGGGGGCCATTTAGGGCAGCCTCCTCTTTTTATTAATTAGTTCTCTGAAGCCCAAGCACTTAAGTAACCCTTCCAAGGTCACAGAAGTGGTAATAAGTGTCTGAATTGGGATTAGAACCCAGGACCTCTGACTCTAGAACCAATTCATTCTACTTTATCTTGCTGCCTTTGAGACAGCCATCTAGTCTAACTACTGCCTCATTTTACAGATGAGGAAACTGAGGCACAGGAAGGTTAAGGCAATCAATTAATAAACATTTATTAAACACCTACTATGTACCAGGCATTGTGCGTGCTTCAGTTCGTACAGGTAGTAGTAAGTATCTAAGGAGAGATTTGAATCCAAGGCCTGTGACTCGAGGGCCCGTGTTCTCTATACACTCTTCCCAGCTTCCTCCTAAAATATTTTGCTGCTTCACAATTCATGGGACACTTTGTTAATTGTACTTGTCTTGTATTATTTTGCATTATAGTAGGTGGCAGCTATGTAATTGATGGAGTGCTGGGCTAGGAGTCAGGAAGTCCTGAGTTCAAATCCAACTTCAGACACTAGCTGGGTGACCCTGGGCAAGTCACTTACTTTCTTTCTGCCTCAGTTTCCTCATCTCTAAAATGAGAATAATAATAGCACCTATCTCCCAAGATTGTTGTGGGCATAAAGATATAGGTATTAAATGCACTATGCAACCCTTAAATAAATGCTAATTGTTATTATTATTATTAATTATCCATGTATGTGTATTATCCCCCACTAGGCTAGTCCTGCCTCTGATGCTTAGTAGTTTCAGAACCTTGGGCAAGTGACTTAACCTCTGTCTGCCTCAGTTTCCCCATATGTAAAAAGAAGTTGGATTAGATGCTCTCTGAAGTCTCTTCCCACCCTGGGCCTGTGCTCCCCTTTGGTCGAGGCTCTGTGGGCTATGTGAGCATTTGGTTTTCTTGTTAAAGCCTGTCTCCTCATCTGCAAAATGAGGTGCCTATAGCCCCTTCTAGCTCTAAATCTAGGACCGTGTTTTTTCAAGGGCTGTGCTCCCCAGTGACCTTGACCTTGACCTCCTCTCTGACCCTGAGCCCTCTGTCCCTCATCCAGCCATGACAGTCTGTGTCCTTTCTAAGTTTTCTGGTCTCATTGCCCATTCCCCTAGGCCAGGATAAGGAGGCTCAATGTGGGGCCACTCCGGTTTAGGTTAATGAGCTGCCCCTCCTGGTCTTCCTACCCTCCGCTGCCATCCCTCCTGGCCAGCGCCTCTACTTACCATCTCCTCCCTTGTTTCTGACTCACCACTCACTTCAAGAAGAAAGACCCCCTTCTCCAGATTACCTTGGGCATTCTGTTACTACTTCATTCAAACTTTCTGAAACTTGATCTATTGTGCTTTAGTGGGAAAGGTCTTGGGTTTTGAGTCAGATGACCCACGTTCAAATCCTGGCTTATACATGACCTTGGGCCTCAGTTTTCTCATATGTTGAAAGCCATGTCTCTGAGGTCCTATCCAGCCAGAGCTCCTATTTCCCCCAGGAGCTCCTCAATATATAGATCACATTTTTCTACTTCTCAGTTTTGTGACTGTTACTTCTCTTTTCTCCACGTTTTCCTGAGGTATAATATCAGACTTTTATTTCTCTGTTTACTCCAGCAATCAATTAAGCAACAAGTATTTATTAAGCACTCATTTTGTGCCAAGCATTGTGCTGGGAAAACAAAGATAAAACTGAACAGTCCCTGCCCTCAAAGAGCTTACATTCTAGAAGAGGAGATAACATGTACATATGTAAACATATTCATTATATATACAACATAAATTAAAGCTAATGGGGGAGAAGGGGTTAATAGCTGGGGTGATAAGGCATGAAGAGTTTCAGGTAAGAGATGGAATTGAAGATAAGGTCTGAAAGAAACTAGAGATTCTAAGAAACAATTGAGAGGGAATACTTTCTAGCCTGGGCAAAGGCAAGGAGGTGAGAGATAAAGTGTCATGTTTAAGGAAGGCCATAGTGAGTGAAGGAGAATAATGTACCCTAAACCTGGAAAGGTAATCTGGAGGCAGGTTGTGATGAGTTTAAGATGCCAAAGAGAGACGATTGTTAGACAGTTGTTTGTTCATGGCTTATTTTTAAAGCTGTGTCAAAACACAGACACAGACACAGAGACACACACACACAGAGCAATTTTTTGAGGTATAAACCAGTGTATAAATCTATGGGTCACGGTGTCTTAAATGGGAAATTGGTTTACCCTGTGGCCACTTAGACTCCTACTTCGGTTTTTCTAAAACACTGGTTCCTAAGATTAGAATGGAAAAGGGTTTTTTTTTAGGCATAAAATTCCTGTCTGGCTCACATTAAGTTAGATCAGTCTGTAAATGGCTTTGTAAAGTTTGGGGGGCTATAAATGTAGGTTTCCATGATTAGTTTTATCAACCAATCACCCAATGTATATTTATTAAGTGCCTGCTGTGTTCCTAAGCATTATGCTAGGCACAAACGGATGCAAATACATACAAAGAATAAAACAATCTATGCTCTCTAAGAACCTATATTTCTTTATGAAATTCTTTTCCTCATTATTACTGTTGCTATTTATCAAACACCTACTACGTGAAAAGCACAGTGTAACTACGGATGATACAAATATGAATGGGGTGTGGCCCTTTCTCTGATAGAGATGCCCACATGGTCATGAGGGATAACTATAAAGCAGGGTGTGCCAAGGACCCTCAGAGTGGTACAGAGGGCTATAGGGCATCCCACCCTTTTTATCTTTTATATTTTCTCTTATAGATAAAGAAGAAATAACTTCTTAATCTTAATAATACAATATGCTTTAGAAACACCTGCCCCCAGCAGCCTCAGCTCGATACAAAGTTGCAACTTTATCGTTTTAAACATTCATTTCTGCCTGTATTTCCTCTAAAAAGCCTGCCTTTGCCACTCATGAATTTTTATGAGCATGTGAATCATATAAGACTTATTAATGGGAAGTAATTGGGTCATTGGAGGCTCTGGGAGTTATTTTTCTTCATATCTGAATTCTCTGGCTTTCTGGAGACTAAGCTGTTGTTTTCTGGATCAGCAAAATCCACCGAGGATTTCCATTGTCAGCCCTTCTCTCATGTTCAGTCTTCACTTGTCCATGGTTCCTTCTTTTCATTTTTTTAATTAAATTGTGCCCATTCTCATTCTAGTTCAGGGATTATAGGACTGTTGATTTTTTAGTTTTTCTTGAAGTCTTTTGTTTTTCCATCACCTTCATTTCTGAATAACTCTCTCCTCCCTTTTCTTCCCCTCCCTTCCCTCTCCCAGTGAGCTGTCTCTTATAACAAAGATTTTAAAAAGAAAGAGGTGGGGGACAGTTTTGCAAAACTGGCTAACACAGCAACACAAACGCTACCGATTCTTCATTACGTAGAGCGAACAGTCTTGTCATGGCCCACTCCACTCTGTGGCTTGCCTTCTCTCATCACCACCACGTGAGGGCGCCATACTGATAAAGAAATGGGGAAATTTCCTTTCTTAATAGGTTAAAGTAATAAAATTGCCTTAGTGACCAGAAAAGCATCTAAACAATTATCATAAAATCAAAGGACTCCTAACAGGAAGAGTTTCTACCTTAGGGATCCACCCTCTCATTTTATAAATCATATAGGATGAGAATAGTATTTACTACCAAATGGTTAGTATTTTACAACAGAAAAGTTAAGGAACAAAATCCACGACAGTCAAAAGTTTTGTAAATCTTTCTCGGTCTCTTTTTTCTTCCCTTCAATTTTAAAATAAAAAAAAATAGAATCAGTGTGGAATTTAGCAAGTGTTCCAGTTTGCTAGTGCTGTAGTGCAGACTATTTTGAAAATCAGAAACAAAATGTCATCCCTGACAATTTGCTGTTTCATGTAAAAAGTGGGAGGGCCGGTTTTAAAAGTAGCTGTAGTTTATCCAGGTAAGCACAGAGAATTTTTTTAATAGAGATTTTCCCCCTCTATGGAAAATTAAGCCTCACATCTGCTAACATCTGTACTTTATATTTCACTTTGAAGAATCAAGCAAATTTGGGGAGGTTTTAAGACTATAAGAAAAAATGTTGGTAGTAGCAAATAACTGGAAACAATGCAGGTGGCCATCCATTGGGGAATGATTAGACAAGTTGTGACCCATGAACATGATGGACTCTTACTATGTTACAAGGAATGGGACCATGAAAAAATGGAAAGATATATATGAACTGATGCAAAATGAAATAAGCACAATCAGGGGAAAAAATGCCCAATGACTAAAATGATATAAATGGAGAAAATAACAAAAACAAGGAGTAGAAACTGAAAGCTATGAAATTAATAACCAATTAGCCTCAAAGAGGAGTTAGGAGATAGTACCATACATATCACTTCTTTGTCAAGAGTAACAGGGGAAGGGGGAACTATGGTTGTAGAATTACATTAGTTTTCCTAAACTATTTTTTTTCTCTTCTTTTTTATTCTTTTTTATAAGGCAAGGGAGTTCTGAAACCTTTTTTCTAGCATGGACCCCTTTGGTAGTCTGATGAATCTCACAGACTTCTCACAATTATGTTTTTAAATGCATAAAATAAAACACATAGGATTGTGAAGGAAACCAATAATTAAAATACAATTCTCAATATATCTAACATATATATACATATATATGTATATATATATATATATATATCGTATGAGTGTGTTCATGAACCCCTGCTATAAGGAATTGATGTCTGGTAGTGAGAGGAAGAGATACATTGGGAAATGTAGGTGATCTAAAAACGAAGGATATCATATCAACAATAATTTTTTAATGTATAGTAGGAGACTTTCATAGTATATATCTCTCCCTTTTGAATTTTCTCCTGTGTTCCTTTCCAGAATGGATTGTCTCCATTGCATATGGCGACCCAAGGGGATCACCTAAACTGTGTCCAGCTTCTCCTCCAACATAACGTGCCTGTTGATGATGTCACTAATGACTACTTGACCGCACTGCACGTCGCTGCCCACTGTGGCCACTACAAAGTTGCCAAGATTCTCTTGGACAAGAAAGCTAACCCTAATGCCAAAGCACTGGTAAGTGCAGCCCCCATGTCTAAGAAAACCAGGTCCCAGGGCTCGGCTGGTGGCCAATGGGTGCTGCATCTTCGGCTCTGCGGGGCTTGCTTTTAAAAGTCCTTCTACTCCTTCCCAATCTAATCTCAGGTCTTTGATTCAGTTCTCCTCTCCTCCTTAAATACCTGGTCTCAGAAATCATTTCTTCTCTCGAGCATCTTCAATTCAACAGATATTAAAAAGCACCTTTTATGTGTAAGACATGAAAAGCAGAACAGCATGATGGATAAAGAACTGACCTCCAGGTCAGGAATACCTGGGTTCAAGGTCTGCCTCTGACACAGAGTGATTTGTGACCTTGGGCAAGTCACTTAACCCTGTCTGCCTCAGTTTCCTCAACTGTAGAATGGAGATGGTAACAGCATTTACCTCTCAGGGTTATGGTGAGGATCAAATGAGATAATATTTGTAAAGCACTTAGCACAGTGGTTGGCACATGGTAGGCATTTAATAAATGTTTCCTTCCTTTCACTCATCTGCATTGGTAGGGAGTTTACTCACCAGGAGTTCATTCTCCCAACAAAATCACAGGACCGGATCAATGTGCTGGGCTCTGGGGCCCTAAAGATGACATTTACTGTAGCCCTGGTCCTAGAGAATTTCCAGTCTAATGAAGATGCAGCCAGTTAGAATGTGTAGCATCCTACTGGTGTGAAGTCAGTGAGTCAGAGCTCTAGGCAGAGACCTTGGAAGCATCTTATCCAATGCCCTAATACATAGGGGGCTTCCCTTGTGCCAGATGTGGAATGCCCTGTGCAAAGCACTAGGAGAAACTTCAGGAAGGTGGGATCACCACTGGGGGAAGGTTCTATGGAGGCAGAAGTAAGCCCAGAAGCCTTGAAGAATGGCTTGAATAGCTGGAGATGGTGAGAAGCCATGCTAAGAACGGAAGGAGGACGCCATCGTGATAAGCAGAAATATGGTGTGACCTTTGAACAGTTCGAGAGACATAATTTCTGGATAATTAGTCATTTTATCAATCATGCTAGAATTTTAATAAAAGAGGTCAGGGGCACTCTCGAACACCAAAGACCCTCATGACATAGGGCTCAAGACTTACATGCCCTTGGAAAAGTGAGTGTTCTAGAAGGGGCAATCAACTAATGGGTTAACAAGTAATGAGAGAATGAATATTACAATGAGGGGTTGGACCTATTCTAATGAACTTTGATTATGTAATTGACTTCTAAATTACCCCTAGCCTTGGGCAATCTAATCAAAGAATTTATTCCCACCTAAACCTGAGCAGAACACAATGGGCTTCCCCACCATAGATTAAACTCCTTGGAAGGTTGGGTGGGATCTGAACAAGATTGAAGAGAAAGTTAATTCAACCTTCAGAGACTGAGTTTTGAAATGAGGACTTTAGAAAAAGGGAAGAATAGATTCAGGAGGACCTGAGTTCAAATCTGGCCTCAGACACTTGGCGTTTACTAGCTGTGTGACCCTGGGCAAGTCATTTAACCCCAATTGCCTTGGAAAAAAAAGAAAAGAAAAAGAACTATGGTTTGCCCCAAATCATTGGTTGTTAATAATCATTTCTCTCAATGGTAAAAGGCAAGACAAGAAGTAGAAAGACTGAAGAAAATGTAAGGAGATGAATAAAAAATAGGGTTGGAACCTCCCTCTCTTTGCACTGGTGGGGTACTATGGGAGTGGACTACTACATACTGATGTGGTGGTTAGATTGCTGAACTCCTTTTTCTTTAAAGGATACTTATTGGGCAGGGGAAAAGGAATGGGTCCATTTGAAAAAGAAAGTGATGAGAAAACAAAAGTGTGAATAAAAATTAAAATTAATGGGGCCAAATAGATATGGTGCCTTGGAGTCAACCTGTGGCTGGCTTCAAATGCCAGGCTCATGATTTAAATTTCAACAGCTCCCTCTCTACTGACTCTTTCCCCTCCTCCTACAAACGTGCTTAGGGTTCCCTGATTTTCTGAGAAAGCCTTCCCCCTACCCTTCCCCTCCCTTCTTTATACCCTCTGTTGTCTTTATTTCGGGGGTGCACGCTCATGGCTCTCCCACTTCTTTACACACTCCATCTCTGCCCCTTTTACTCAGTCTTAAGCCTCTTCCTACCCTTAAACTTGGCTGTCCCTCAATGTTCTAGGCTCCATTTTTGTTCTGCTTTTCTCATCATACTCTGTCCCTTGACTTCCATGCTTCCAACTCTTACCACTATTTAGAAAAGGCTTAAAAATCCTCAGCTTAGCAGTTGTGGCTGCTTCATCGTCGTCATCGTCGTCTTCTTCTTCTTCATCGTCATCTTCTTCTTCCTCTCCTCCTCCTCCTCCTCCTCTTTCTTTCTTTCTCCTCCTTTTGCTTCTGCTTCTTCTTCTTCTTCTGCTGCTGCTGCTGCTGCTTCTACTTCTTCTGTTGCTGCTGCTGGTGCAGCTGCTATTACTTCTTTTTCTTCTCTTCTTCTTCCTCCTCCTTCTTTTCTCTCTCCTCTCCCTCCCTCTCTCTCTCCCTCCCTCCCACTCCTTTCTCTCTCATCTCTCCTCACTTTTTCTCTTCTCTCTCTTCCCTCACTCTCTCTCCTCCCTCTCTTTTCCCTCTTTCTCTCTTTTCCCTCTCCCTCTCCTCTTTTTCCCCCTTCCCTCCCTCTCTCTTCCTCTCCCCTGGCTCTATACCCTGCCATCCATACACGGTGCTGACCTAAGCAAATAATTACCGATACCAAAGTTATGGAAATCTTCTCTCAGCAACATTCAGAGTAAAGAAAATAGCCATGCCATTATAAAGGGGGTCAGTAGTCAGCCTGGTGCCAACACCTGCAATAGTTTGCAAAAATGTTAGTGAACCAGAAAGCTTTATTGGAAAGCAAAAAGCAACAGTCAGCGGCATGATCCTAGGCCTTATTTAGGAAGCAACAAGGCCTCTGAATTAATGAGTAACAGATTTGCTGACATCTTTTTCTCCCACTGGTTGGATTCCAACATACAGTCTGGTTTGTTTTTTGGTTTTTTTTTTTTTGGTTTTTTTTTTTTTGTTGTTATTATTCATGACAACTCCTTTAAATACACTGTCATTCAGTTTTCTCATCTGCAAAATGGGGGAAATCTTGATCCCATCAGGATAAATGCTGTAGTTCATTATAAATAGTAGCAATAGCATTTAAAAAAAATTGATTACCCTTATAATAACTAATCTTGGCCCCAAAGAAGAGATGACAAAATATAGCTCACTTTCTTGTGCGGAGGCGAAGGACTACGTGGGTGAAACACGACATACACCCTCAGACTCAGTTGATGTATCGGTTAGTTTTGCTGAACTATTTTTGTCATTTTTATTTTTAGCTTTCCTTTTTTATTTTTTTGAACAAGGGATGACTCACTAAGAAGGAAAGGAGCAAGCATATGTAGAAATTAAAGTGACATAAAAAACAAAATATAGTAACAAAAATGTAATTAAAGAAAACAAAATGGATTTACAACCAGAGAGGCACTAACCATTCATAGGAATTGAGTGATTTAGTTAATCATATTTACTTATAAAGGAAGTCAGCCTAGAAGCACCTATTTTCAAAGGAATTTGAGCCTTTTTTGCTTCCTACCAAAGACTGATGCTCTACTCATGACCCTGTGCAATCTATTGATCATGCCAGTAACATCTATCACAAGATCCTAGACTCTGAGAGTGGTGAGAGACCTTTGAGATCCCTCAGTTTACAAATGAGGGAATTGAGGTCCAAATTGATGAAGTGACTTCGCCACAGTCACATTGGTAAAGAGTGGCAGGGCTGGGATTTGAACCCCAGTCTTCTGATTCTAAATCCCTGGCTCTCCCCACTGTGCTACACTGCCTCCCAGAAGGAATCAGGAATTCTGAAGGAGGTAAAGCTCTCTTCTTTACAGATAGAGAAGAGAAACGTTTAAGCTGAACGTACATTGAGAACAGGAAGCAATCTTGGAGGTTGGTGGGGAAAAGGTTGTTTTCTGTGTTTGTTTTCAGTGGAACTAGTCCCAAATTCTCAAGGGGCCAAAGTTTGAATCCAAATGAGAGATAAAATTCGTTACTGGTCACTGACCTCAACAACCAAAGATACTGTTTGATTTTTAAGGAAATTAAAAGAATCCAGTTGGTTAACCCTGGATGTTGGCGGAGAATGGACATGAGCAAAGACGCTGCCACAGTGTCATCGATCGGAATTCCAAAGCAATCCACAACTCAGGAAAGGGTTATTGTTGTTATTGTGCAGTCATTTTTCAGTTGTGTCTGACTCTTCCTGACCCTGTTTGGAGTTTTCTTGGCAGAAATACTACAGTGGTTTGCTATTTCCTTCTCCAGCTCATTTTACAAATGAGAAAACTGAGGCAAACAGAATTAATTGACTTTCCAAGGGTCATATAGGCTGGATTTGAACTCAGACCTTCCTGACTCTAGGCCCTATGCTCCAGCCACCACACCACCTACTAGCTGCAAAAAAAGGTTAAGAACCCCCGATTCTGAATTGTGATACCCAGGATCAATGAATACAAGTTTCAGAGAGAGATTTCACCTGGATGCACAGACTATCTTGCTAACAATTGGGGCTGCCCAGCAGTGGACTGCTTGAGAAGGTGGTGGGTTCCCCCTACTAGAGGTTTACAAGACCATATGCCCACCTATCTGGTATGTTTATTTTATATTTGTAATTACTTTTATATCTGTATATCTCCCCGGTTAGGATGTTAGCTTCTTGAGAGCAGGAATTGTGTCATTCTTCGCATTTGTGACCTGAGAGCCTGGCACAGAGTTGGTGCATAATAAATGCTTCTTGGCTGATGGCTGGCATGGTTGGGGTCCTTGCACAGGTATGGGTGGAACTAGATATGCCGCTTTAGTCTATCTCTTTCAACTGAGAGATTCTATGATTTCAATGGAGACGTCCCCATTGCAGGAAGGAAATGTATCACTGGGGAAATGAACCCGGCTTGGAATCCCTATTCTCTCCTTTCTACTTTGACCTCTCTGG